TATATTTAAGGAGTTTAGGCGTTAAATAATAAAAAATGAAATTATTTACATAAAAAAATGTCATTTTTTTTGAAATAAAAAATCTACCGATCATCTAACTTCTAAATTATACGTGATCAACATTGGTATTGAACTTAAATTTTGGAAAATTTTAACAGATGTTAATTTTAGAAAATATTAGCGGTCGGATACTTATGACCGCTACTGTAATTATGTAACTTGGATATTTTATTTTCTTTCTAGATTTAAATTAATGGATTTCATCCAAATATAATTACATTTTATGGAGTAACAAAGTTTAATGAAATAAGCTTGGGAGATATTTTTTTAAGCTATGACAAGTCGTTCATCAAGAAAATAACAGATATTGCGTTATTTTCTTTATGATTTAAACTAATTATATATATAACCCGTTCAAAATTAAGGTTTAGGGAATTCTAGCATTAATGAAAAGAAATTTTCGAAAGTGTAGATCGCTGACGGCAACACTGATAAATTGATTTTATTAAATAACGAGAATGGATTTAATGTCGCGAAAGCAATTTCAAAATAGAATTGAAACAGCAGCATAGTTCCTCTAATTAATCCCTTGAGCTATTATTTTCTCAACCAAGTGAAATTATAAAATTAAATTGATCTATTAAGAATTCTTCTAAATTTTTCAGAATAAACGTAAGGGATACTTACCGAAGCCATTCTTTTATCTTCATATAAATCTAACAAACTATATAACCTAAGATTATATTCCGTTAGGTTCTTGCAATATTTAGTTTGAAGGCTATTTTTTTCTAAACATTCGGATTCGTTGGATGAAGCTTCATCATTTGAGTCATCATCCGAATTATCATTCGGGTCGTCATCATGGATTTCGTCGCCATCTTGCGTGATATCTAGTTTACTTGGAAGGGGGCTTGTATGAAATGAGAAGAACGGAATAGTCATTGTATGAATAATTCATATTATCATTTAACACATTTATACGCGGAATATATAGTCAGTTACAACTTTTAAAGTTTCCACCTTCGCTAACACGTGGTTGTACAATTTTGTATAAATAAACCTTTGCACCTTTGCTTTACCACATTTGCTTTTAGGTGTTACAAAGCGATCGAACCATATAAAATGAAAGAATGCTGTGCTGCGATCCAGCCCTAAAGAAATCGTAAAAAGATAAAATAATATTAATTGAAAAAGAACAAAAGAAGAGTAATAATAATAAAATCAAAAAGTCTTATCGCAGAAGATCGAACCAACCCTGAAAAAAATAGAAAATTTAATAAAAACAAAATTCAAATTCCAAAAATAAATAAATAAATAAATTAAATTAAACAACTTACCCGCACTAACGATCAAATCCTAAGAAGAAAAAACTTAACAAGGTTCACCTGATCTAAATAAATATATATATATATTATTATTCTACATCTAACTAGATTTAAGTTAGAAGAAAATTTCGAAATTTTCGAAACAAAAATTATTCAAAAAATTTTACAGATGAGCGAGTTGTTTTAAATTTGAAAATGGAGAATTAAAATGTCGAAAAAAAAAAGCCGAATTTATTAAAGGATTAATAAATTTCAATACAATCTTCCTTATCTTGAATAGTAGGTAAGACTATAAATAAAAGCTATAGTATTAGAAAAGGTTTACTAAATAGAAATTATCTGCTTCTCCAGTAGTATTTTATTTCTACGTAATGCATTTCGATGATTTTCAGATTTGCAAAAACTATTTATTTAAATAAAAAAAAAATTTTTTTAATTGAATTAGCAGACCGTAAATACTGGGTTGGGTTCGTGTTGTCATTAATAAGTCCGGGCCGGGCCGGACTCCAAAGTTTTGGCCACTAGAACGAAGATTCTTACGTGATTTTCGGAAAGAGCAGTAATTCTGGCCTAGTCATTTGAGCATTTAAATATTTCTCTAATCTTTATCATCGTTCGTCATTTGGACTAATAATTACACATGACTAGAACTTGAGAAATAAAATAAGCTTAATGTAAGTCAAAATATTAATTGTCATTTCAAGTCCTTTTCTAAGCACTAGTGCCGATCAAAAACTTTACATTGAAGAACGATACTTCAAGCGGCTTCTGCAAAGCTTCTGAAATACAGTACATTGCTAATCAAAATAAACGATAGAATTATTGCACAAGTTCCTTCTAAACTTTTAATTCCTTAACAATACAATAATATTTATTTTTAAGCCTGGAATCGTCTCAAAACCAAGCCAACAAACTAAATGAACTTAATATCACAATTATCTCAATGGCCTTTCCTAAGAGAAATAAACTATTAAAACCAAAACAATTTATTACCACGATTCACTTGTGTAGTTGATTATCACAATCAATCCTATGGTGAAGACAAGAAGAAGGTTGAAAATGTAAAATAGTAATTTTATTAACTTGAAGAGCTTATAAGTCTTGTCCCAAGACTTATCTCAATCTCCGAGAAAACTCTGTCGACTCGATGTCAACTTACAGGTCTATTTTATATAAAATTGTGAACTAGTACTATACTACGCATAATACATTATTTAATAATTAATAACATAAATCAATTATATTGCAATCTTATTGACCACTAATTCATCCTTCTATACAGCATTAATATTGGTCTATTCAATGCCACTTTAATGATTAATTTGTCGGGTTTGATTATCTGGTCTATCGTGCAAAGCAAGAATATGCATAATAAGTTATTTTCATTGAACCTGTCGCTTAATAAATACATTACCGAAAAAAAGAAATTTAATACAAAATTTTATACTAATATTTTATTTCACATATAAATAAAATGTTCGTTCATTACTATACAAAATACCAGAAGAATTATACAATAAACTTGAATATACTTGGACAAGCATAAATGCAACTGTTATAATGAAGTACTGCTATATTTCGAAACTAAAGATAAATGGATTAAAAATTATAAGTGCACACATTTCATTCAAAAGAAACATAAACATTAAATGAAATACTTACTACTTAAACTAGAATATGTATCTGATAAAACATCATGTAATTCATTAGTTTGCATCAAATTAAACGAATCATTGTTATTTCCTGTAAGTTTTATTTAATTATACAATAAATCAGTATAAAACTCAATTATATAATAAATTATATGCATTTGATATACAAACCTTCAATTGAGGTATTATTAACATTTACTCCGGCTTCCTTAAGGTCTAAGTCCTCATGATTTAAATTAACCTCATCGATACCAAAACCCATCTTTTTAAATTCTTCTAATACGTTTTGAATTTTTGGTCTGTTCTTTGGTGTCGAATCCCAACATTTTTTATAAAGCTCTTCATAACTTATAGGCGTTCCTACTATAGTATCTTCACGAGCTCCAGCAATAATATTAATGCGAAGTAAACATTCATCACCCTTGTTCATTAAACTTTCAAATGGAAGAACTCCGCTAGAAATCTCCCACATTAATACTCCATAACTATAAATGTCTGATTCTTTAATATATTGAAATTAAAACTCTGAAAGTTTTTTGGGATCTATATATGGAATCCTGCCAAAAGTTCCGATATGAATACTAGAATTTTGAGCATTCATCTTTTTTGAAATACCGAAATCCGTGATTTTAGCATTACCATCATGAATAACTATATTCTTAGAATGCTAAATGTAAATAGACATTTCAAATAAATATCTAATGAGTTTAATTATAACAATTACATAAGTAAAAAACTAATACTTACAAGGTCTCTATGCAAAATATACTCATTATGTAAATAGTTTAATCCTTCAGCGATTTGAAACGCTAATTTTTTCTTATCATCCCAAGTTAAATATTTAAATTTCTTTTCAAGATAATTTTGAAGATCGCCATCATTGGCATATTGCATTATAAGAAGAAAGTCTTTTGTATTATGATCTATAAAAATGTAATTTTTATATATTAAAATTAAAGATAAATATTGTTTAAAATAAAATTTAAATTATAAATACCTTGACTAATACCTAAGCAACGAATAATCCGATCACTAGATCAAGTTGTAAATGAATTTGTAATTCATGAATAAATGCATTTAATATGCTACCTTTAACAGATTTCATATTAGTTAATCTTTTATAAACAATATAACTTCTTGTTTTAATCCAAGTAGCTTTCCTAATACATCCAAACCCTCCACTGCCAAGCTCCTCAGAATTTATCAAATCGTTGAATAATATAAATTTAACTTTTTCATTTTTCAAGGCATTTTCTATCCATTCAATTGCGTTATCTTTTTGATAATCTTTTTGAAAGTTATTGAATTCTATATTACTTTTAGATGATAATTGATTAAGAGATGAAGTAATTTGCAATATATTTGGACATTCATCTGGTTCATATTTCCAACATACTAAATTAAATAGATAAATTAATATCAGTTTTGTCAAATAAGATTAATATTATTTACCTGTATATAATCTACTATAATCAATAGGGGTATTAGAAACAATTTCTTCTTTTCTTTATTGCGTAATATTTTTTTCATTTTCTTCATAATATGGTTAATATCCACTTGAAATTTACCACATTAATACGCCAATACTATAAATATCAGACTTTTTATTTAATTTATAATCCTGGTTTTCTAAACTCTTTGGATCTATATAAGCTTTAAATACTTTTAAGTTTTTATCAATATTTTTTGATAAACCAAGATTTTTTAATTTAATATTTTTTTGATGTATAAATATATTTGCTGCATTCTATAATTTTATATATTGACATGAAACAAATTATTAGTAATTAATAAATTAGATTAAATAATTTATAAAAATTGATATTTTACCAAATTACTATGAACAATATCATTTTTATGTAAATAAGATATAGTACTTGCAAGTTGTATTGCTAATTTATATTTTTCATTTCAATCAAATTCATAAAAATGATTATCTAAATAAGAATTTAATGTGTTGCTATCAGCATATTCTAAAACTAAAATTTATTGATCTATTACTAAAATATTAAAATAAATTAAGATTTAAATATTTATAATTAAGTTAATAATACTTTTAAAAAATTGATTAATTACTTACCATCTTTTATAATTATAATTCCATAAAATTGTATAATATTTGGATCATGTTTAATTATTCACTATAATTTTAACTATTTAATAAAATATACAGTAAATATTCTATTAAATTAAAATCAAAATTTAATTAGTAAATTAAATAACTAATACCTCATTTTTAATTTCTTCAATAATTCTAATATTATAACAATTAAATGATTTCATAATAACAAAATTATTTAAATATTTCCAATTGGCACAATAAACAGTTGTAAATATATCACCAATTTTTTGTATATTTTTGAATTCTGAATATTCATAATTACTAAAAATATTATCTTAATTTAAAATTTCATATAAATTTTTTTGATTTAATATTTCATTTATTTGTATTTGATCTAAAACATCTATTTTATTTATTTGTTCTTTTTCCAATTCATTTATTCTATCTATTTGCTTTTGATCTAATTTATTTATTTTATTTATTTGTTCTTATTCTAATTTATTTATTTCATTTAATTATTTTTAATCTAATTCATTATTATTTATATTTAAAGCTTTATTGATGCTGATATTTCAGTATTAATTAAATCATGATTTAAAATTTTATTTAATTTTTCACTAAAAATAAGTAAATCACTTGTATTAAATACTTGTAGTTGATATTTTATATCACTTAAATTATTATCTTGATTTTGTTTTAATATTTTATCTGCTTTATAAAAATCAATAATATCATTTTTTAATTTATTATTAAAATCTATGATTATGAAATTATCATACCAATTTTTAATTATTTTTTTAATTTCTGATGCTGTTGGTCTTTTTAATATATTTTTATCCCAACATTTTTTCATTAAATTTATATAATATTGTAGAACATTTTCAATATCTTTAAAATGTTTACCTTTACAAATATCTAACTGAAGTTGAAAATTATGAGCTTCATTATTAAATGGAAAAAATCCAGATATAAATTCCCATATAATTATGGAAAAACTATATATATCACTAGCTTGAGTATAAGGTTGACCTCTTAAAACTTCAGGTGCTACAAATGGTAAAACACCATAAATACTATTTTTTTAGATGATTGAAAATATTCTACTGGTTTACATAGTCCCAAATCACTAATAGATAAAATATTTTGATTAATACTTAAAATATTACTATGATGAAAATCACAATGAATAAGATTTTTTTGATGTATTATTTTAAGATCAAATAAAATATTATATAATTTTAATAATTTTACTATCCAATTATCTTTAGCAATATTTGATAAATTTTTTCTTAAAGAACTATTTTTTGCATAAGTCATTATAATCATATAATTTAATGTATTTGGATCTTGAGTAAAACCATATATTTGAAGAATAATTTCATTTGTATACTGTTTTAATTGAATATAACAATTATGATGATGCTTCCACTAAAAAATAATAAAAAAATTTTAAAAAATATATTACAAAATTAAATTTAATAATAATTTTATAC